AATGTAAAATACAGAACTTAGGATATTTACAAAGAATTATTTTGATGGTATGAGCTAAAAAAATTATTTATAAATATTACTTGAAGTATTAACTAGATTTCTGTATTCGGCTGTCCATGGATGTCGAAAAGTTTTAATTTTTTTTTTTTAGTACGTATAGGATATACAAAGAGTGTATCGTTCTATGGCCAACAAAAAAAATTACATACGACTAAATAGTGAATACCGACGACGTTTCGCACAACTTTCTCGTCCTTCTTTAATACTACAAAGAAAAATTACAACGAAGATGAAAATCTATAAATAGATTATTTTTTAAAATTAATTTATTCATAAAAATAATTTGTTAATGTGCCTATAAATATTGGTAGTAGAAATGTAAATATCGGGAAAAACAGTAATTCAAATATATACCTATATATACCAAATTTACATATATATATATATATATATATATATATATATATATATCGGTATTTTTAGAATATTAGAATAAATCAAAATAGTAAGTAATTCGATCTATTGAATAAAATATTATGTTATATATTAATATTAAGAACTTGATACTTTTTGGGAGAACTTTATAAAAATAAATAACAAATCTTATTATACAGAACTATAAAAAAATTAAATTAAATCAATTAAATTTCTCAAACAAAATATTTATGAAAATCTATGAAAAATTGAACAACTATTATTAAAAAAGACTTACAATTAATAAAGATAAATCAAATAATCTGCTCAATATATATGAAATTTTAAAATAAAAAATAAGGAAGGATATTAAAATTGAATTAATAATGAACGAAACATATGAATCGAATTAAAATATTGATTATAAACCAAAAAAGTTGCTAAAAAAATTAATTATAACAATTCCTTCAAAGGTATTTTCTTAAAAAATAATATCATTTATCAGAGAGGCGTTTTTTCCTTCTAGAGTTTACTAATTTAATTTTTGTAATTGTGATAACGTAATGGTTTTCGATAGTCTAAGTTTAATAAAACAAAATAATAAAATACAGGCAGTGAATGCAACACAATATATATCTTAATCACTATCAAAATTTATTATCTGGCTTGAAACATATTTTTAAATATTATGAATCTTGTCTGAGAGTAATTTATTAAAAACTTATCCCATTTCTTCCTTAATAAACAAGAATTTCCACAACTTTTCTCTGAAAGTAAACAATATTGGCTAGCTTGATAAAATGGATACATGGAAGACTATAGCGGGAGAGACGGCTGATATGCCCCATCAGTAAAGGCATCATGTGCCACATATTGCAAGGAGCGCCGGCTACTGAGTTTATTTTAAATACCAGCTGCGCCAAAATTGGATTTTCTTAGTAGGGGAGGAGGTGGGGGAGGGGGACACGACCCCTCCTATTAGGAAATAGCCGGTGCTAAGCACTTTATAAAAACCGTCTTCGCTTTTTATGAAGGGGGCTCTTTTATTAACAAGTTAAATCTTTTTTTTATTTTATTAAGGGTTGTCACGGCACGATTTGTAGCAGTAATTGAAGATAAAAATGTTCCTTTATATACAACGCTGTAGGCATCAAAGGCTTTGTTACCCAATCCAAACGTGTGAAATGTGAAATTGGGCTCCAGATTTGCACAAAATAAAATTAGTTCATTTTAAACTTAAAACTAATTACTTACAAATGTGCAATTTAAGCAGTAATTAACAAGTTATTATCTAAAAATGTTTCCTCTTTTTTTTACCAAAATAAAATAGTACTGATGTGGGAAATATTTTTATTGAAAGCAGAATGTTTCATGTTGAGAAAACAGGCCGTTAAAGGTTATAATAAAGGAAATTATATTTACAATGTTACTCAATAAAAACTCTACTTATGGGAATAAAGAGGAATAACTTAAGAAAAATTGCTAGACCAAGGGTGCCCGTACCCCAATGGTGATGAAGCATGAAGCTCCTCCGAAGAAAAATATTTTATTTTTTTTTTAAATAGCAGGGAAATTAAAGTAAAATTATAATTTATTTTTCTCTTTATACTTTGGCATAAAAGTTCTCTCTATTTTAAAACTCACAAAAATATGATTCCTTCCAAAAATTCAGATAGTATTCAGGTAGGTATGCTACATATACATAAAGTAACATACTGACAATGATTATATTAATAAGACCAGTTTCTTTTCTCTTCTTTCTTTTCTCAATGATCTTTTCTCTTCAATTGTAAAGTTGATATCCTTATTTTTTCAATATATTAATCTTTCGTATTGCTATCGAAGACGTTCATAACAACCGAATTATTGGAACATCCGACCCAAGTTTTGCACGAGGAACCCTCGAGGCGTCGCAATTTCCCTACGACTCCATCACTCATACACAGAGCCCCCCTCAGCTGGCGAGGCATGACAATATAAATCAGGACAGTAAACAATAAATAAATCAGATCAACCCCTCGGGCCCATGGCGACCCTGGGCTAGCAGTAAATAATCACAGCGGAGGATGAGGAGCTGGCGATAGATCAAAGCGCCATTCGACTGAAACCAATTTATTTTTTGTCGAGCCGTGGCATGTCTGACCTTAGGACGGACAGCATCCCTTAGCGTCCCTTGGCAGAGGTAAGGGCGAGAGTGACGAGTGACCGTCCTCCCCCACAGATAAGGAAGGGCCCTTGATAACCGTTATCCAGGACACCTGAGTAATTCAAAGCTTGGCCCTAACACCCTTTTCATCTCTACAGCGGGATTCCTCAGCATTTCATTACGCAATCCACAACCTCAGATTAATGATAAAAAAAAGCCCCCGGCATATCCGGGCGTGTTACCAACCTGTTGTGAGTATACTGACATATTGTTTGATGCAAAGAAAAATAATAATGGAAATAAGACACATTTATTTAAAATGAGTACAATAGTTAAAAAAAAAAAATAGAAAAGAATTTAATGAAGAAGATTCTTAGAGAGTCTTTGGTTCTAAAGGAGAGAAACTATCTCTGTCACAACTGTAATATGCTTAAAGAATCCAGGATTTGAAAAGATACAGTGCAGAGCATGACGGAAACAATTATAAAAGACTTACTTAGAATGTTACAATTTATTTTAAGTCAAGGAAGAGGAAGATTGGTTTTCTCGACAGTGTTATATCAACTTTTCTCGTCTAACTCTTTCTCTCTCATTTCTAATATATATATATTTATATTAAATCGATACTATTTAAGTAAGCAAATCAGCATAGTTGAGCAGCTAATACAAATTTACTTATTTGTAGTAATTCTGGTTTATTAACTATACCAAAAATAATTAACAAATTGAATTAATTTTATTAAATGACAAGAAATTCAACACCAATCATTCTTTAAAAAAAATGTTATTCTTAAAATTACTTAGGATGTTTCAATTTTAACTGATTTTTTTTTATTTAACATTATTTCATTACAGTTGCGACGTTACATACCATACATACCATCTTTATAAATATTAGGGATACTGTAATAAAATTAATACAATATGAAAAATTATGATGATGATTAAACCACCCTACATAATTTTAATATATCAAAATTATCAACATTAAATTGGAGATACAAACAAGGTTTTTTCTCATAATTAAATATTTAACATATACATTAGCATTACAGTATATTATAAACTCATTTAGGCTACATTATACTACATTATGAAAAATACTATTTAATATCAAATAAATAATTTAAAAAAAAAACTAATTTATTATGGATCATCATAATGCAAAATATAAAATAAATAAAAAAAACTTAAATAATATTTCAGAAGTAAAAGAACGCGGGTAAATGTTTTAAAAAATAACATCCTTTATCACAGAGAAAAATCCACTAATATTAGTTCTTTGCCTCTTTCGAGAAAAGAACCCACCTCCCCAGTCAGTATTACGAGCACATTCCATCAGGGAAAGACTGTTCCCACTGAAGTACTTAATAAACACTTCTGCATATTCAATTAAAACCGAATGTGCCGTGGGACTGCTTTTTATAAGCGTAAACATTTTATTTTCCCCTCTATCTTGCCGATCCTTTTCCGAGAGGGAAGTCGCATTAGAATGAAACAGCCACGTTAGATCAGTGAGTATTTTTATCGTTGCTGTAACTATAACGAGAAAAATACTAACTTATTGTTAGAGGCAAGGGATACCTCCGACCCGGCAAGGGTAGCCTCCGATAACTGGAAGGCTTCTGCAAGTGACCTGAAAATTACTTCTAGTGAAAGTGAACTACCAAATACACCCCGGTCAAGGTGCAACTGTCAAGAGACCAATAAAAGTGAAAATAGTGGGGCTGTTAACCTTTCAACTGTCCCTTTCGTTAACGGTCCCCTACCGAAAACAACAAAAATTTATTGCTAGAGGCATTGTCAACATCGACGTTTACTGCAGTAAACATTTGTTTTGGAATATACAACTGTTTTGTACAACTGTCACTTTCACTTTAACTTTACTCTTAGACCGTTTTCTAGAAACCATACACAAATAAATAACATTATGGATTCTATGACGAAAAAAAAAACTGTAAATACATATATTTTCATGCAAGCTTTAAGCTATGGAATAAATAAATTAACTATATATTGTTCTGGAAATAGACAAGAGCACATGTTTTATTTTACAACAATATATTTATAAATAAACAAAAACAAAGTTGAAGGAAAAAACAACAGAAAAAACTCCCACCCAAAGATCAGCCTAAGATAAAGTTTAAATGACATCTCTAATTGTTGAGGAGTACCTTTCTCAGAGGGAGCTGTGTTTCTCACGGTTCGACATCTGAAAAGGAGAGTTAGGACGACAAGAAGCACAGTTCTCGCTACCTGGAGACCGCCGTAACTCCCTTAACCGAGCAAAAACCTTTCGGACCGAAGGCAAAGAACAGTTTAAAATATAATACATCACGATTATTTGACCTGTATGTGGATGTTATAAATAATAAAATTTATAAAAGTAAAAATAATATAATCAATAAAAATAACAGTAAATAATGAAAAATGTACATACCAATTATACGAAATAGGTCCTGCCCTGGCCTGCCCCTGCCTGGGGGTCTGGTATGCAGCTGTAGACGTGGTGATGTACCTTAGGCCTCTGCTGCTGGTAATCTATCGACACATAGCTATGCGGCTCTTCTTCTTCGTCCGTCGTCCTCTGGGAGGATTCTTCCGAGACGCACGTCGAACCCGTCGGTGCCGAAGACTGCGTTATCGAGGCCGGCGACATCCGGTACCAGGTTTCCTGCGACGTCGGAGCCGCGGTATACCTAGCACCCGTCTTACCCTCGACGACGACTTTCTTCAGCCCTTCAGCGGTCTTCCTCTGTACATCTGGCATCACGTACCTCAGTTTCTCCCAGAACCTTTTCTCACCCCAAGAGATCACTTTGCAGGCTTTTACGAGAAGCTGTAGCTCGGGATCAGGCCCGATATCAGTGGTCAGAAGAAGTATGACTTTGCTCCTCCTGGCCCTCGTCCTCTCGAGGCAAGCCTGGAGAGCTGCTCTGAACGGAGGCCGTTCCCATTCATTTTGAAGAAAACTTAAGGATAACACTATGAGGATTCTCCTCGCTGCGTCTGAAGCCCCTAAAATACTATCTGTCAGATAGGTCGGGCTCATAACGTGGAGATCTCTATAATGAAGGCATAAAGAATATCCAGACCTTTCTAAGCTAGATGCTATCACTTGACTTACAAACTCTTCATCTTTGACGCTGTATACCATATATGCGTCGTATAGGCGGTCATCCTGACTGTGCCCCCCTCCGCTGAGAACTCTTATCCCATAACGGGAATGGACCCATAAACTGACCTCTTCCCTGAATATAAATCCTAAAGTCGTGATAAGAAGTATGATGATAAATACAACAAGGCTGCCGGCTACAAACGGCACATAGTCTCCTTCGAGAATGGCAGTATTGTAGAAGGTATTGCGGTGAACGGCCGAAGTCGCTGCAGCAGAATCACGATTCTCACTGCATCGCCGTATCGTGTCAAGAAGAGTTGTCTTACCATCGGCACAGAGCAGCTTATCCGTATTTAAAGTGTTGGAGTTCTCTTTCAACCATGCTTCCATAGGACCGATATTATCGCAGTTACAAGTCCATGTATTACCTTCTAGAGATACTGTAGCTAATGTTTCAGAAGATAACTGTTCCCACGGTTTGAAATTTACAATGTTGTTCGATTCTAATTTGAGGACTTCCAATGTTTTCATAGATTTGAAGGTGTTGTTTCCTAAATGTTTTATTTCATTATGGTCCAAATATAATTCGTTCAAGTTTTCTAATTGGTCGAATTCGAAACCACGAAGTTCATGAATATGGTTGTTTTCCATATGGAGAACTCTGAGGGAAGTGACTCCATTAAATGAACGATTATGGAGAGAATCGATATTACTATTGTTTAAATATAAAACTTCGAGCTTTTTCTTCCCGATAAATACATGACTGCCGAGTTCTCCCAAATCATTGCCATCTAAATATATTTCTGTTGCATCCATAGGTATTTTGGTCGGTACGGAAGTGTAGCCAGCATTGGAACAATCTACTACATTAGCTGTCCAGGTATGATCATGATAACACGTACAATTAGCAGGGCAGGTCATTTCGCAATCACAGGCGTCGAAATCACAACAGTGGCATAATGCGAAGCAATGAGTCTCGTAAGGGCACAAGAATTGGGATGATTTGAGGTCCATGAGCGGTCTGGTCGGACTGCCACGCGAATGTGTCAAGTGGCAAGTGACAGAGTCGAGATCCATGACCCTAGGATGCTGCCGCAATCGGCTCAATTGGTTTATTCTCTGGAGCCACTCCATAGTACAGTCACAGTGGATGGGATTATTGCCCAGATAGAACTGTGGCAAGTCTTTTTCTTCAGGAATAGCATCCAGTCGCAAGGCGGCGAGATCTAGCGTTTGAATTTTATTAGCAAAAAGTACAACCCTACTCAAATTACTTTTTCTCTGAAAAGTTCCTGGTTTCACTTTTCTAATCAGATTATCGTTAAGTAGTAAGCTCTCTACTGAATCGGGTATAGAATTTTCATTTATTTCAGTCAGTCTGTTAAAACTGGCATCCAACATCTTTATTTGCAAATTTTCCCTTTTTTCAAAATAATTACCTAAATCCGCTACATTATTTTTATGCATATCTAACCACTCTAAACTCTGTGGTATTAGTGCGTAATCAAACCATTGAAGTTGATTGTCGGAAACATTTAACCAGACTAAACCAGTCAAATTGACAAACATACCATTAATATCTTTTAATTGGTTTCCATCAAGCCTTATTGCATGGAGTGTGGGACTTGTGCCGAAAGCTCCTTTGTCGACATGCTCTATTTGGTTATAAGCCAAATTTAAAATTTGAAGAGATGGGAGAGTCGAAAACGAATCCTTCGTTACATTAGTGATTTTATTTTCTATTAAAGTCAAACTATACAGTTGATCTAATCCCTGAAACGAAGTATTGACGATATTTGTGATAAGATTTTCTCCAAGATGTAAAGTTTTAAGAAATTTGAGTTCCGTAAGACCGTCAGGGATTTGAGTGAGCTGATTTCCACCAAGTCCCAGATCGTGAAGATTCGAACAATTTTCAAACGCTCTTCGGTCAATTATATTGATTTTATTGTGATCTAAAAACAACTGATTGAGAACGTAGAGTCCTGTGAAATGATAAGATTCAACGTTAACTAGTTTGTTGTGAGACAGCGTCAGAGCGTGGAGGTTGCTAAGATACATGAACGCGCCCTCCGAAATGCATTCAATTTCGTTGTGTTCCAAGTTCAATATTTGCAAGCTGTATAAATCTTGGAAAACGTGAGAATCTATTTTCGATAGTTGATTGTGGCCTACATTTAAGACGACCAGGCGGACAAGACCTGAAAAAGTGTCTCTATTAACCCAAGCGCTTGTAAGCTCATTGTAGGACAAATCTAATACAAGCAGCTGGTCTAAACCTTCTAATAATCCTGGAGCTAGGACACTGATTGAATTGTTATTAAGGTAGATCTCTCGCAAGTCTCTGGTTGATTGAAATAATTCTGGAGGAAGAGCAACAAGTTGATTACTAGATGCATTCAAGTATTGTAATGAAACAAGACCGACAAAAGCTCTATCAGCCATCGATGCTATGGCATTTTCTTGTAATAAAATTTTCTGAAGTGATCTAAGACTTGTAAATGCATTATCTGGTATCAGAGATATATCGTTCATGGAAACATCTAATTCTTCAAGACCGACATTGCAGGTTTTTCCGGGTGCGCTAGGACCATCACCCCAATCCGAAAATCCTAATTCTAAGACATCTTGCATCCTATTTCTTGACATATTCAAGTGTGTCAGTGAGTATAACGGGCAAAAAAGTTCTTCAGGCAAATTCCAAATATTATTATCAGAAAGGTCCAAATGTTTTAATTGAGTCAAACCTCTAAATGCATTCGGATGAAATTCCATTGTCATGGCAGACCAATCCGTATTATGGGTCCTAACTACTAACTGTTTGAGTTCTCTAGAAGCGGAAAGAACACCGGGGGGCACATGCCTTATTTTACAAAATTCTAACCTGAGATCTCGGAGCCGATGAAGCTGAGTCAGAAAACTGTTGACATCCAAGGAGCTCTCGAAGAACAGTACATCGGAGCACTCAAGGCGCAAAGTAGTTATCATATCCAATTGGGCTGAGGTAAGGTTCGAGAGTACGCTGTCAGCATTTCCGATCGTACGTAACTTACACTGTAAAGACACTGTCACTTCAGGCTCATCGCCGACACTCAACACTCGCTGCCAATCGCAGTCGGGTTCACTGTTTGCACGGCAGACGTCGATGACTGACAACACGAAAACGATTGCTACTAGAAGGGCCATCGGGACATGAGCACGGTCCGGCGGCCAGAAGGCGACTGGTGAGTGCCGAAGAGGCCAGCCCCCTCTTGTACGCTGGTTCGGTATTCGGCCGCCAGGTATCGGCACCCGTCGGCTCGGTGGGCGGGATCACCCCCCTCCACCTCCCCCGGCCCCATGCTTGTTTATTATCAATCCTCCAATAACAACAAACCTCGCTGCGGGCCACTTTTTTGTCAAACTTATTTTTTTATTAATCATCCGCCCAATTGGAACCACTCCTCCAACTAATAAATCAAATCTATAGTAATTACCTTACCTTGTCTCAGATACAGCTTTTTTTCTCTTATGCTTTATATTTGATTAACAACCACGTATTTTTATAAATCTTTATAAACCAATCATCATTTTAAGAAATTGAATTAATACCTAGTTTTTTTATGGAAATTAATTGTATACATTTTGTTTGTAATATTTAAAAAACCTTGCACATTTGTTTTTATTAAAAATCGTTAAGTATGTGTTAGGGAATAAATATATTTTATTCTCTCCTCATATCTCGCCCTTAAGGCCAATTTAATAAATTATCACTCATTGTTTTTAGTGTTATTCTTCACTACATTTATTTTTATAGATTATTCTAAGACTAATCCAATATAGGGGAAAATTATATGCTGAAGAAGACAAAGAATCGGCGAAAATACAAATATATATGTATAAGAGTGGTTGTTTATTAAATTGGACCTAAGGGCAAAAAGTTAACATAGAATAATTAATGAAGAGAGGTCAATACTATGAACTAATAAACACATTTTATTATGGATCTGTGTTTTTAGCTCAAGTTGTTTCAAAACTTTCACGTTACACCGCCTAATAATTTGAAACATTGAATTGAAAAATCGATCCAGCGATATGCTCAAAAAATCATAAAGCTTTTAGCTAACAATCCAAACATATTGCCAGCTCATCGTGTGACTTAACCATAATCCAGTAAAAAGAAGACGAAAAAAGTGATCAGACTTTTCTATGAGTATGTTTCTGTCCAATAGTTTTCAAAAAAATTATGGCAATGCAACAAACTAATTTTTTGTTGAAACAAAATATACAAACCTTTATATATCGACATTTAAAGATAAAAATTTGATAATATCAAAAGGTAAATAATTTGAGAAAGCTGTGCGTAGATTCGTGATTAGAAATAATATTTTAAAAAATGTTTAGACATTTAAGGATAATTTAACAAATAAGTTTAATTTTCTATGATTATATTAAATTCATAAATAAAAAGAAAGAAATGGATATAAAAGACAAAAAAATTAAATCTTTCTAATGTAGCCAATTAAATATCCTAATTATCAATTATTCCCTATTAATAATCTTCAATTATTAATTCATTAATTCTCTAATTATTAATTAGTTGGATTGGATGAATTGATACTACTGAAATTTTGAAAAACACCACAAAATTGGAAAAAACATTGTTCATATTTCTTCAAATAACGCACCTATATAACAAAATTTAAATTTTGCTTACACTTATTTGGAAATTCTAATGTTTAATGTTTAAAATATTTTGTACTTTCAAATTTATTGTTAAATTTCATCTAATGTGATATAAATATTGCGTAAGGGCTAAAATGTTCCGTAACAGGTTGAAGAAACGCTATTGTTATAAATAAATAAATAAAATTAATTTTCTGAATGCTTGCTTGATATTATATATTATTAAATAAAATATATACATTTTTTATAATATTATTAATTTGACTTTTTATGTGGAGTCAGTCGATTTTTATTTATTGAAGTTCACCAAGGAAGGGTGAGGGCCCTAAGCTATGCTGGTCTCAAGGGAAGTCAGGTAGTTAGGGTTTGTAACAAAGAATAACTGAATTCAAATAACAATTGTAACATACGTTTAACCATAATTTGGTGATTGAAATTGAATTTTAACATATAAAAATAATTTTATTCAATAATTTTTAACATATAAAAAATCATCACCCGTATTGCCTACTAGGCACGGCAGGGTTGATAAATAAATAAATAATATAAAAAATCATTAAGTAAATTTATTAGATTTTTCTCAATAATTAATCATAATGGATTTGTTTATATAATTATCATATTCAATAACATATTACAATCGAAAATAATTTTATAGTACTTTTGATTTTATCCTTGTTTTATATAAATATATATATTTTAATTACTAAAATAGGTTTTGTTTTTAAGGGCTGAAATGTTGATATAAAAAATAAATAAAAAGTTGGAATGTAGTGATCAAATATGTGGTTTTATTATTAATAAAAAATATGTACAAATATACCAATATATAAAAAAAATATTTTTTATTCTCGAAAGAGTAAAATATGTACTCACTGTCTGTGTGGTTGACCATCGATATATCATGCGGTTATAATGTATGATATATATACATATTTATATAAGTTTCCAATAAATAAGGGCAAATTTTCTATCAATGTTTAATAATTCTTAACACAGCAGCACAATTAATTAATTATAAAACTTTATAGAACAATAAATACATATCTTAAAAAAAAAAGAAATATACAAAATATAATCCAATAACGAATAATCAGTTGTCATATCTCGAAATTAACATTTTGAATACATTAAAATTCTCACACAATGAAGAAAAACAAGGAATAATTAAGCTAGATGTACCAAATTTAAAAATCGCTACATACCTAAACACGAAAATTTTACTTTAAGAAGTTGTTCGTGGGTTTGGTCAAGAGACATGTAGGGTTAATGTAACGGTAATAGAAGCTTTCAGAGAAATTTTAACATTAATGTGAACTACAGCTTTAGTGCCAACAGTGAATCTTAACAAATAGGTTTATTTGTATCTTTTATCGCAACGTTTCCTCAATATACCGTCAATTAGTTAGTTATTCATGAATAACTTGAAGATTTCTGACAGCGCATTTTGCTCCAGTAATAGAAACTCAGCTTTTTGAGGTTAATAGTTTTGTTTTTTTTTCTATGAAAATTTCTTTATTGAGATATATTACAATCTACCACATTTAAGGACAATAGTAATAGTGATATTATTTTTTTTTTCATAATTAAAAACACAAAATAAATCCTCCACAGTTTTAAAATAAGAAATAACAACCATCGATGAATAAATAAAAAATTCAAACTTATCTCCTAAAAAAAAGTAATAAGGAATGATATAACTTGAGGTGCATGCATCATCCCTTCTAAGTAGTGTTGCCCAAAATCGGTGCAAAATGCAAGACCAAGACTGTTAAAAAAATCGATTTTTTAAATACTAACTAAGGAAAAATAGTTAATAATTTTAGTTACTATATGTATAGAACTGGTATAACCAATATACTTTTGTACTTAACTCTTCCAATTTTTTATTAGGGCTTAGTTAGGTTTCTCCTATCGAAAAAAATACAGTAATATTTCTATAGTAATAAGCTAATAGGTAACTGCAAGACTGTTGCGAGGCTCTTGCGAAAGAACAAGACCAAGACTGAGTTAGCAAGACCAAGACTCGTCTCGGTCTCGCATTTGGGCAACGTTACTCTGAACTGTATCAACTGAAAATCTGCTCAAAGTTGCACTATCTTCTTGGTATATAAATCACATTATCTTTTAATGAATTAAAAACTGTCTGTCATTGACACAGTGTTTATTACTGGTAAATTTACCTTATTATATTTATTACGTTATATTACATCTTCCATCCTTTCGACCTACAGCGTAGCACTACAATAATACATAGCATGTCTATTGATCGCACCTCCAACCATTTTGGCAATTTCGCATGTTAATAATCACGAATAAATTATAAGTTACTAATTCATGTTCTTTGAGTCCAAATTTTATTTAACCAAACCTGACGAATTAAATTAGAAGTCAACATCCATAATTACACGCCCTAAGCCGGTACCTACTATTATTGAATGTTCACAAGACTTGAGAGCTTTTGTTTCAACTAGTAGGTACTAGTATTCAAACTCTTGGTGAACTGCCTCCGAAAGTGTAAGTTGTTGAAGTTCTTCATTGAAACAGTTGGGAAGGTCTTTAATTTTGTTGGAAATAGCTTTGTAGAGAGGAGGCCGGTAAATGCTCGTGATGGAGTAGGTGGCATTAAGCAGAGATATTTAAAAGCGCAATTTCGCAAGTCATTTTACTAAAAGATATTTTATCTTTATGTCTAACTTCGTATTAAAATATAATAACAGCATAGACATTTTTGTTTATATATATATATATATATATACATTTGCAGATCCAGGATTTCATTTTGGGGGCTTCAGCACGAGAGATTTTTTTTTTTAAATGACGATACTTAATTTGGAAGAAAAAGAAAGAAACTACATGTACTAGATGGTATTTCAGTGATTTTTAAAGTCCTATTAAATGTAATTGCACGAATAGTAATACTTTTAAAGATATTTTTTTCATAAGACACAGTAATATTTTTCCATTTTGAGGGGAGGGGGCCCGTAAGCCCCCTCTCGAAGATCTCTCTGTGTGTATGTGTATATATATACGAATATTTATAATATTTTATTTAGCAGCTCATGTATAAATTAATTTATCTTAATTTTCAATTTAGAAAAATAAAATTTCTCTTCTACGTTGGACCATATATGCTCATTGGCTGATTTCATAAGACTTAGATGGTTTTATAAAACTTAGGTTTTTACTATTTAAGTTTTATTCCTTTCAATTACAAATTAAACATGATGAAATCCATTCTTTCTTTTGATCCATCGTGGTTTATTTTAAACTTAAAATATTTATAAATAATCATATTAGCACTATGATTACACAGAATAGCTAGTATTTTAAGACTAAATCAGCAAGTAAACTTTATTATTTTAAATTTACGCAGAATATTTTTATTCCATAGATTATACATGACAAAAAGAAAGTAATTATTTTAACATTACAAGTCATTATTTGAAAGGTCATTACATTTAAAAAAAAAAAAAATCTAAAAAAATTATAAAGTTGTTCCCAAGTTTTTAAACATAGTTTTTTTGAAAATTCTGCGCAG